TTTTTTTTTTTAAATGGCTGAAGATATAGCTCAGTGGCAAAATGCCACTGGGTTCAATCCCCAGTACTGTAAAAAAAAAATTCTCTTCAAAATGATTAAAAAAATGAAAAACATGTTATGTAAAGAAATTAACATGAGAATTCATTTTTCCAAAAAAAAAAATTTTTAAGGTTTCTCTAAGATAATAGCTGGGAATAGTAGATAAAAGAACCAATATTTCGACTTGTGCCTACCCAGAGACAGACCTTATTACATCCTTCTCTTACTTAATTTCCAAGGCAACCACTTTTTCCATGAAGAAATCAAAGCTCAGATACATTAAGTTGCAATACTATCAATTTCCATTTTAATTCACATACCTTTTATTATAAATTGTATGCTTTTTTTTACTCCCCAACACTCATCTCAACTCCATGGGGTTGTATATTGGAATCAGGGACAGAAGCTCACTGACAGATTCCAAAATCTCCTTCTGTTGCTGTGACATGGAGAGCAATCAGCAAAAAGTCTTTGAATCTTAGTTCTGTTGCAGTCCACTGGCAAGCACCATACTTGTATTTTTAAATCTGAAGAAACTAACTTGATAACACACTGGCCTTTACACATGGCTGTCTAACTTCTCCAGTTGTTGGGAGGTCTCTATTAAATACAATTCATGCATGGGGATACAGCTCAGTGGTAGAGTGCTTTGCCTACCTCACAGGAGACCCTAGCTTCAATCCTCAGCACGACAAAATTTAAAGTAAAACTATATAAATACAAGTTCATAATTGCATAGTAGTCAAATTACTAAGCAATATAGGTGACTTTCCCTAATTTTATTACCAATCAAATATTCCTACCTTAAGAATGTGGAGTTACAATGATTATACCACGGAGACCACAGCCAGCTTATGTGACTGTCAATTCTGAGTCCTCTAACACCTCATCCTGCATCACCATTTCCTGCTCTGTAGCTTCTGCCTTCTTTGCCCCCACTATTCACTAAGCTCTTAAAAGAGGTCTGAGGATTCAAAGAAACCACACACACAATTTAGTAAGGGGAAGCCAAAGAGAGTGCCATCCACACATCAGATGTCCCTCATGCTCTACATGATTCATTTTATGCAATTCAAAGTCCCCAGATTCCAGATCAGGAGAATGAGGTTTAGAAGTTAAATGACTTGATACATACCTACGCAATACTAACCATACCATGTTCTCTGCCCTACACCCAACATTCACACCTGTTTCAGCTCCACTGTTCCTAAACCCACTGAAGACTTCTAAAACATATTTAGCCAAAATCACCAGACAGTAGATATGAAATCAATCTTATCAATGTGTTGCTTACTTTGATATGTTCATCAAACACCACACTTCCTCCAATTAACACAGATTAAGCATCTCTAATCCAAAAATCTGAAATGCTCCAAATCTGAAAGTTTTGTATGTGGACATGACCCTACAAGTAGAAAATTCCACACCAGACTCCATGTGACAGGTTGCAATCAAAATGCAGGCACACTAAAAATACTGTAATGATTTTCAGACTACACATATAAAGTATCTAGGAAAGAATTAAATTTGTGTTTAGACTTGAGTCCCATTCTCAAGATATCTCAGAATGTATATGTAAATATTCTAGAATCAAAAAACAAAACAAAACTGGAGTCTTTTAAGCATTTCAGAGAAGTGATATTCATCCTGTACAATGATTTCTGGTAACTCAAAATGGCAATATTTACCATCCTGGGCTCAATATCTAACCGTTAATTGTTGGAGATTAAGACTAAAAGAATGTAAATGTTTGATTATTTAAATACTGTGAATTATGTCAGTGAATTTTCTTGTTCTGAAAAATTTAGGAGTCTACAACTCACCATGAAAACAGCTCAAAAGTAATAATATAGAGGGAGATAGGAGGAAATATAGCAAATGTGGCATATGTTAATAATTGGTGACTCTGGATGAAGGGTATATCAAAGTTCTTCGTATTATTCTGTCAGTTTGAGAATAGTTCAATAATTTTTAATAAAAAAAAATTTTATAAATGGCCCATATTCCAGACCATTTGGGGACTGACCTCAACAGCAGTTTGTACATGGTTGATTTTTCTTGACATGATAGGAGGAAATAGGTTCAACAACCAGCATTTAGATGACTTCAATAAAGCACTGCAGATGCTGGTTATTTAATTATTAATTCCCTGTCCAGCTGCAGAAGGTAATGAACCATGTTCTCTATTGGTTTAAATGCCTGCTTTTTGCTTAAGTGTGCTGTCTTCTGAGTTATGGTACAAATTTTAAAAAGGAAGAATGATTCCATAGGGAAAAGCTCTTAAATGGGGACTGGGTTGTTTAAGGTTATGACTGTGACCACAGTACAGCTTCCCACCTGGTAATAGCTGGCTTTGGCCTCGATCATCAGCTGCTGAGTAGAGATCATCTTCTTCCTGCGTTTACACTCCTCCTTGAGAAGTTTGATCTCCCCTGCCTGCTTGGTGAGCAGCTGCTTGCTGTGCTCACAGTCACCCAGGCTCTGGTGCAGCCTTTCCTCCAGGCTGTGCAACTGCGAGGTGAGGAACTCCTGCGAGTGCATCAGGTACTCGATGGTGAGCTGCGCCAGGCGGATGAGCTTCAGCAGCACCGGGTCCACCCCCGACTGGCAGTGTGGGCATTTCTCGTCCTCCAGTTTGCAGAAGGTTATGTTCATGATGTTCTCCTGCAGCGTTAGCACGTCCACGGCCCCTGCCACCTTGTCCACGTCGATGGCGCTCAGCCGGCGCCAATCCACACTCTCCAGTCGCGGCCGGAACTGGAAGAAGGGCAGGGGGCCTGATGCCGCACTGGGGGGCACACAGGCCATGGAGGCGGCGCCTGCTGCTGCAGAGGCAGAGGCGTCGGGCCCCTCGAGGCCGCTGGCCAGAGGGTAGTAGACGTGCTTCTGGAAGGGCTGCGGAGGAAGGGACAGTGCATCAGAGGCAGAAGTGGAGGGCAGGAGGACTGGGGAGGCCCCGGCCGCAACCCGGCATCCCAGGACACTCAGGCTTCCCGCCTCTTACCATGCTTGCGAGCCAGTCCGCTGCCTAGGCTTTAATCAGAGGAGCGATTCGGCTTCGCCTCCCAGCCCCAAGCCGCTTCCGGGCCGCCGCCGCCACACCCCTGGGAAGCCGGAGAAGACCAGGTCCCGGCAGCAGCGGCGGCGGCGGCGGCGGCGGCCAAGGTCTGGGCGTCCAGGACGTTGCTATGGCAGCGCCCCGCCGCCGGACCCAGAGCAAAGGGCGCGCCGGCCAGCGCGCGGTCAGCGTGCGCCCAGCGCCCTGCGGGACCAAAAAAAAAAAAAACCTCGTGGATGAGTCTGGGTGGACAATACTGGTCCACCCGGAGAGGGCCTTCCTAGCAGCCCGCTCCCCAGGGCACCACCATCCCTGGGGGGCTGGACACTCGATGTCCTTAAAACAGGAGTGGAGAGCCACATCCCAGGAACTTTTGGTCCTAGCTGCCATCCTCTGGTTATCCATCCACTACTGTCCTAGCTTATGCTTTGAAATTAGAAATATCTATTCATCCTCATCTTTTACGCCCAACCTCCAAGACAGGTAGCAACAAAACAATGTAAAATTAAATGGAGGAAAAAGGGCAAGAGGAAAATCTAGGGTAGTAGAAATATTCTACATTTTGATTGTGGCTGATTACAAAAGAATATACATTCATCAAAATTTATGGAATGGAATGCTTAAAATTAAGGTTGTATTTTATGTATTATACTACAATAAAATTGTTTAAATTAAAATGTAAGATTTCTTATATCCAAGATATATTTTAAAGGAATTTTTCTTTTCTTATGGGTTGGCAGCCTAAACAACATTTTGAGAAAGGTACAAACCAAAGAACTCCCCAGGTTTGTCTTCTGAAAAAGATGCACTGCCAAAATGCTGAAGGGAAAAAAACAGATGGTGGGGTACTTCAGCCATCAAGTTTCCCTCCAATTTTTACAAGGCCATTGTATTTACCTTATAAACTTGTGTGGGGGTTGCATTATTTTCTGGAGAGACTAAAATATTTCTAGTAGCAACTTGTAGACTTCAGGCCTCTCATTTTGGGGGTCTTCTGGGGGCTGCCAGTGGTTACCACAGAGATCAAGGAGCTGAGGAAAAGCCAGACATTCCTCAATCCACCGGGGAGTCCCTGCTTGGACCAACCACCAGGAAAATTTTTTTCTTTCCTAACAGCCAAATACGTGAACAGAAGAAAGGAAAATACAATTCAGAGTAACTGAAAGCAAAGTTATAATCAAATATTTTTAGCACAAAATATTGTGAACTAGAAATAAACCCACAGGAAAGCAACCAGGAAACAAAGCATGCGTTTCGTATAAACCACACAGCCAGATAATTTCTAATAGGTTTTTGGGAAAAAATAACTATCAATAACTCACTGCAGCCTAGCATAAAAGTCTTAAAGACATAGATAGGTTTCACAATTTTGATTCTTCCTTTTACTTGCTGTCTAATTTAGAATAAATCTGACAGCCTTAGACCTCAGTTTCTCCATCTGTTGAAGGGCATCAGGATACCGACCTGGCAGGGCTGTGGACTGAGGGCTCCATCCACTGGGCTGCAGGATCAGCGGGAACAAGGGCTGTGGTCTCTCTTGCTCACTGATGTATCCCCAACACCTAGCGCAGGATCGGCACGGAGAGGGCGTTCAGAATTTGGACTCGTGAATAAAGAACTATGAATCAGGCACTCAGTTAAGGAGATGTCAGCTCCTGGACTCATGTCCCTATTTTTTTTCCGCCTTGTGTTAGAGGGATCAACCCTTGTTCTGGATCAAAGGCCTCGGGGCAGAACGTGGAAGCGGCCCACGCGCCGCCGCTGCGGTCCTGGAGAGGAGGGGAGCAGGCCCGAGGGACCCATCTCTGTTCGCTGCCACCACTCCAATCTAGGGCATTTGCGGTTCGCCACCCTTGCCCCTTTGATCAAAGCTCTGTCACAAGATGGCCGGAAGAGGAAAGAAGGGGGATTGCTTTCCTGTTCCCTCCGTCTCCCGACCCTCCGGCAGGGCCCCAGCAGAGCCCCTAGACCTGCACCGCGTCTTGCTTCCCGGCGCATCGCACCGCGGGCCTGCTGAACCCGCAAAGACAAAGAGGGATGCGGGGTCCAGTGGGGCCTTGGCACCTTCTTAGAAAGCAAGTGGGGATGGGGGATGCGGCAGCCACGTCACCGCGACCCGCAGTGGCGCGGAACGTTGCCGGAGAGGCGGGAGGAGGACCGGGTCTCAAACGCTCCAAGATGCCCTTGTCCAAGGCGGGCCCCCTCGGGCGCCTAGGCGCATCCCCGGCCTCGGCTTACCCCAGCTGCGCGCTCCTGGGCGGGTACCGGGCGCTGCAGGCTGACGGAGAGTCTCAGGGGACCCAGATCCCAGGGGCTCTGCTGGCTCAGGCGGGGCTCGTGGAGGCCGAGGAGCAGGCGGGCGGACTCCTTCTTCCAGGGTGCAAGATGAAGCGTGTCTCGTCTGGGCAAGTTGTGGCGAGGCCGGTCGCCTGGCGCCGCTCAGGGCCTTCCAGACTCCAGGCCACTGGCGCCTCAGAATCCCCCACCCCCCTCCCGCCCCCAACCCCTCAGCGATCTCCTTCGGGCCTCTCCCTCCGCTGCCCGGCTCCTCTGGCTGTTGGGCGGGACTGTGCGCATCTAGACTGCAGCGCTAAAATGCGCTCCTCCAATCCGGGAGCTGGAGCAGACACGTGGTGCTGGGGCGCGCTCTGTTGCTGGCATGAGGTTTTATCCCCGGGAAGGCTTTTCAAAAAGAAACCAGATTCACTCCTACCCTATGTTAGACGAGCCCAGCTAGTTAATTTCCCAAGGGCTTATGTGAATCTTTATACGAAAAGAGATGCATTTTAACCACAGAAGTCTACTGATGATAAGGACCTTGAAGAGGCTGTATGCAGCCCTGCATTTGAATGATGTAGAAAATGAGACTGGGGTGCTAGAGCACTCCAGGATTTAAATCCAGATTGGTTTCCGCTTGTCTTGCAGCTCTGCCCACTTTAGGATGAGATTCCTGCATTTCTCTTGGTAGAAAGTTTGAGAAATTTGAATTGGTCTTTTGCAAAATCAGTGTCTAGAGTAGGAAACAAAAAATGTTCTTTTAGAAAGGAGTAGCTGCAAATTTTTTTACTGGACAATATGTAAAGATGACTTCCCTTGTGCTGCTTTCTTTCTGACTGAATCAATCATACCATGCACAAGTCTTAAAATATAGGTAATGATAAGTATGCATGTTGAGTTCCTTGATTTAATTGAAATCATCACAAGGCCTGGGACAGCTGTGATGGAATTTTATATTTGTCTAATTTTAGAATGCTTTGAATTTGAAAGAAGATTTAAGATTCCAATCAAAATAATCTAAGTACTATGGGTGAAGTTTTTTAGGTAGAAATTTCAGGCAATATGAGGCAGGTAGTACCACTGCTTTGCAAAATCTATAACCTATAGTGGTGTGTGTGTGTGTGTGTGTGTGTGTGTGTGTGTGTGATGGTTGCTTTACTAATATTATTTGATAAAGTAACCCTTGGGTTACATGGAGCCCCCATTTCCCACTGTCCATATATTATCCCACAGATGTAGAGTCACGATAAATAAGATGAAGCAATTAACTTTGGTGCCATATATTCTTGAATTTTTTTGCTAATTATTAAGCTTTTAAAAATTGGATATCTTTTTCTCTCAGACTATGAGAACCTCAAGTGTTCTAGAATATTGAAGATAATAAGTAAATCCTCAAAGATGTATTTGGTTTTTATGACAGATACTTCCAAAATTTTGTTGATTGTTCCCCACACCTGTTTCCTTTGCATTTTTTTCTTTAAAAAGAAAATCATGGGCTGGGGATGTGGCTCAAGTGGCAGCGCGCTTACCTGGCATGTGTGCGGCCCGGGTTCGATCCTCAGCACCACATACAAACAGAGATGTTGTGTCTGCCGAAAACTAAAAAATAAATATTAAAAGATTCTCTCTCTCTCTCTCTCTTTAAAAAAAAAAGAAAAGAAAATCATGTTCCTATAGTTTTAGAGCTGTTTCCACAGGGAGAAAAATTAGGTGGCTATATTCAATATACATCATAACTTGGCACCTGAATGTGAGAGCCACATACTAAGACTGGTAGGGCAGGACAGTGTTGTAAAGGTGCCATATCAGTCTTTGACCTGCCTGTGTCTACACATCTTTGCCAGGTAAACTTATTTTTTTTCAAGCCACTTATTTGAGTGTTCTATTTTATACACAAAATCAAATTTTAGCTAGAGCAGTGGCCCACATATGTAATCCCAGTGGCTCAGGAGGCTGAGGAAGAAGGATTGCAAGTTCAAAGCCAGCCTTAGCAATCTAGCGAGGCTCTAAGCAACTTAGCAAGTTCCTGTCTTAAAATAAATAAAATAAAATAAAAAGGGTTAAGGATGTGGTTCAGGGGTTAGCCAACCCTGGGTTCAATCCCCATTACCAAAAAATAAAAATAAAAAAATAAAAAAATCTGTTTAACTGTTAACTAGTCCTCCCACACCCCATGATTATTCTGATGATCACAGGGTCTTCTTGGGGTAATTCAACTCCAGTTGCTTTCATTGCCACTAAAGAATTAAATTTCTGGGAGAGAGATTCTAATTGTATTAGTAATGTGCCTGAGTAGTTGGTTAAAATCAGCATATAAATGACATTATAGGGCTGGGGTTGTGGCTCAGTGGTAGTAGAGCACTTGCCTAGCATGTGTGAGGCACTGGGTTCAATTCTCAGCACTGCATATAAATAAAATAAAGGTTCACCAACAACTAAATTTTTTTTTTTAAAAAAGACATGTTCTACCAGAATTATATGAAGAATAGGACAGTGGTCCTGAAATGAAGGGATCTGCCCTGCTTAGAGAAAAAGTAAAAATAAATAAATAATATTAAAATTAAAAAGAGAAATGTAATGTCCATTACATTCCACTCCTTGGCACGTGTTAACATGAATACTCTTTTCTCTATACTTATGTTTTACTCCATTTTGTGCTGTTACAGCAAAACACTTGAGGCTGAGTAATTTATTTATTTAAAAAATATTTATTATTTAGTTGTAGTTGGACACAATGTCTTTATTCTGTTTATTTATTTTTATGTGGTGCTGAGAATCAAACCCAGGGCCTCGCCAGCACTTTACCAATGAGCCACAACCCCAGAAATTTATAAAGAACAGAAGTTTTATTTTTTCACAGTTCTGGAGGCTGGGAAGTATAAGATCAAGGCTCTAACAGGTTTGATTGTCTGGTGCAAAGCCCATCTCTGCTTCCAAGATAATGCCTTGATGCTGCATCCTCCTAAGGGGAAGAATGTTCTGTCCTCATGTGGTGAAGGGATAGGGCAGGAGAATCAGATGCTTTGTGTAGCCTTTTTAAAGTACCTTAATCCGATGCACAAGAGCAGGAGACTTCATGTCCCAATCACCTCTTAAAGATCCCTCCTCTTAATATTATCATGCTAGCAATACCTGAATTTTGGAGGGGACATATCCAAACAATAGCATTATACTATTTTTGAAAATCTTTCGTTAATAGGAATACCTTATGCAGTTATCGTGCTCCTCACTGTGAGGCTAATGAACAGTACTTCTCCCACTGTCAATGCCAAGAAGATCCATGAGTTGGCAATTTCTGGATTATGTCAGTTTTTACCTGAACTCCTTTTAAATTCTGTCTTGTTTCTTCAATCTGTGGTGTCAGAGATAAACTTAACCTCCATGGATAACTTTTACAAAGAATAGAAAAGGAAGAAAGAAAAGATGAGGAAATTATTTTTATATTTCATGATCCATTAAGAAATCAAAGTAGTAGCAATTCAGATGGCTAAGAATGTTCAGATAGTGCATTGCATAGAAACTCCACATCTAAGGGGGCATTATTCATTGTTGACATGTGTTGAATTATAAAACTAACAGAAAGAATTTTAGATTTGCATTTCTCTAATTGCTAGTGATGATGAACATTTTTTCATATATTTGTTGATTGATTGTATATCATCTTCTGAGAAGTGTCTGTTCAGGACCTTGGCTCATTTATTGATTGTGTTATTTGTTTTTTTGGTGCTTAGCTTTTTAAGTTCTTTATATACCCTAGAGATTAGTGCTCTATCTGATTTGGGAGGCGTAAAGATTTGCTCCAAGATGTAGGCTCTCTCACAGATTGTTTCTTTTGCTGAGAAGAAACTTTTTAGTTTGAGTCCATCCCATTTATTAATTTTTTATTTTAATTCTTGCACCACAGGAGTCTTATTAAGGAAGTTGGGGTCTAATCCCACATAATGGAGATAAGAGCCTACTTTTTCTTCTATTAGACACAGGGTCTGTGGTTGTATTCCTAAGCCCTTCATCCATTTTGAGTTTAGTTTTGTGCATGGTGAGAGATAGGGGTTTAATTTCATTTTGTTGCATATGGATTTCCAGTTTTCCCAGCACCATTTGTTTAAGAGGCTATCTTTTCTCCAGTGCATGTTTTTGGCACCTTTGTCTAATAAAAGATAATTGCAGTTTTGTGGGTTAGTCTCTGTGTCCTCTATTCTGTACCATTGGTCTACCAGTTTGTTTTGGTGCCAATATCATGCTGTTTTTGTTACTATTGCTCTGCAGTAAAGTTTAAGGTCTAGTATTGTGATACCACCTGTTTCACTCTTCCTACTAAGGATTGCTTTAGCTGTTCTGGGTCCCTTATTTTTCCAGATGAATTTCATGACTGCTTTTTCTATTTCTATGAGGAATGTCATTGGAATTTTGATTAGAATTGCATTGAATCTGTATAGTGCTTTTGGAAGTATGGTCATTTTGATATATTAATTCTGCGTATCCAAGAGCAAGTTAGACTTTTCCATCTTTTAGGGTCTTCTTTGATTTCTTTCTTTAGGGTTGTGTAGTTTTCATTGTTTAGATCTTTCACCTCTTTCATTAACTTGATTCCCAAGTGTTTTTTTTTTTTTGAGGCTATTGAAAATGGGGTATTTTTCCTTGTTTCCCTTTCTAATGATTTGTCACTGATATACCATTGATTTATGGGTGTTTATTTCATATACTGCTACATTGCTGAATTCATTTACTAGTTCTAGAAGTTTTTTTTGGTGGAACTTTTAGGGTCTTCTAGGTAAAGAATTATATCATCAGCAAATAGTGCCAATTTGAGTTCTTCTTTCCCTATGTGTATCCCTTTAATTTAGTTCATTTAATTGCTCTAGTTAGAGTTTCAAGAACTATATTAAATAGAAGAGGTTAAAGAGGGCTTCCTCTCTTGTTACAGATTTTAGAGGGAATGCCTTCAATTTTTCTCCATTTAGAATGATGTTGGCTTGGGGCTTAGCATAGATAGCCTTTATGATGTTGAAATATGTTCCTGTTATCCCAAGTGGTGCTGTATTTTGTCAAATGCTTTATCTGCATCTGTTGAGATGATTATATGATTCCTATCTTTAAGT